ATTTTCAGAAGTAGTTTGCCAGGCCTTTCTTCCTAGTCTGTCTTAGTCTGGAGGCTTGACTGAAACCAGTCTATCATGGGTGGCCCTGCTGGGATTTGAAATACTGGTGGCATCGTTTCCAGCATCACAGCAACACACAAGCCACCAGCGTACCACAGACTGACAGATGATGGGTGGTGGATCATGGTCATATGTGGGTTTATAGGTTAAATGTATTAGTAAAGTGTGTGTAGGTCAGGTTTTGCATATTGGATGTTTGATGGGCTTCGCTTGGCAGGGCTTTGCCATAAAAAGGTCTTCAGTAAATGTTTTTGTCCAGTAGAGTCCCCTTCCTAATTTATCACTGTGTCTTAGTCATCTAGTGCTGCTATAACAGAAATACCACAAGTGGCTTTAACAAACAGAAGTTTATTTCCTCACAGTAAAGTAGGTTAAAAGTCCAAATTCAGGGTGTCAGCTCCAGGGGAAGTCTTTCTCTCTCTGTCAAACTTCTCATCCATGTTCCCCCGGACTAGGAGCTTCTCTGCACAGGGACCCAGGTCCAAAGGACATGCTCTGCTCCCAGCACTGCTTTCTTGGTGGTATAAGGTCCCCCACTTTCTGCTTGCTTCCCTTTCCTTTTATCTCTTGTAAGATAAAAGGTGGTGCAGGCCACACCCCAAGGAAACTCCCTTTACATTGGATCAGGGATGTGACCTTAGTAAGGGTGTTACAATCCCACCCTAATCCTCTTTAACATAAAATTACAATCACAAAATGGGGGACAACCACACAATACTGGGAATCATGGCCCCGCAAAATTGATACACACATTTTTGGGGGGACATAACTCAATCCATGACACTCTGCAAATTCCAAATGTTGGTGCTCTGCTTCTTGAATGGGACCCATTACTACTACCCATTCCTCTCAACTCAAGCAAACCAGCGAAAGGTAAAGAAAGTGCCGCTGTGGCTTTTTTATTTGTCACTTTGTTCTCAGTTTGTTTCCCCGGCCTTGAG